CCAATCACTCTTACCCACCCAATTCCCCCACATTACCAATCACTCTTTACTCACCCAATTCCCCCACATTACCAACTCAACCACTCACACACTCAAGTTCAGTTTAAAATTTTTTTTTAAAAGCTGTTTTTTTTCAATAAGGTGATCACAAAAATAGTTGTCCATGCCTAAAGGTAGACTGGCAAACTTGCCTTGTTCTAATTGTGATTTCCTGCTGACCATAATTTCAGGTATTGGTCTACAGCCCACATTTTTTTAAATATGTTTATGACAACTGGAATGAACACCATGGAAGATACTCCTCGACTGGCATGCTGGTCATAGTTTTTGCACTTCATGTCTGTGATGAGGTAAATGTGACTTCTGATATATTTTAACTGGTCTAAAGAGAAATATAAGCCCTTTAGTGCTTAATTGCTCATTTGATAAATAACCGTTAAAAAAAACTAAAGATCCACATAGATTTGAGCTTAGAAGCTTGAGGGGTGATCTAATCGAGATTTTTAAAATATTGAAGGCAATTGGCCAGGTAGATTCCCCAACAGGAAAATCAAGAACAAAGGTTGCAAACTTAAAATTGAAGTCAGACCATTTAGATTGAAACCTGGAAACCCTTATTCACACAAAGATGTTTAAGTCGAGAATTCTCTTTCCCTGGAAGGTTGTGGTTCTTGTTACAACAGGGCTTTCAAGATTGATAATTGTTAACATATTAAGGGATTTTTTTTTCATTCATTTGTGGGATCTGGCAACCCCTGGCTGGATTAACATTTATTGCCCATCCCTTACTGCTTTGTTCTAAGTGTCTTGCTAGCTATTCAGAGGGCACTTAAGAGTCAACCACATTTCTGTGGGCCTGGAGTCACATGTAGGCCAGATCAAGTAAGAATGGCAGATTTCCTTCCCTAAAGGACATTAGTGAAGCGGATGGGTATCTATGACAGTCGACAATGGTTGCATGATTGCTATTAGACTGGGTTTTAATTTGGGAGTGGCATAAATTGTAAATGGGATTTAGATAAGGAGTTGCCTAATTCAATGACAAAGTTGGCTCAAGAGGCTGAATGGCCTCCTCCTGGTCCTTTGATATTCTGTGAAGAAGTTGTGAATTTCAACTTGACCCTGCTAATCTCAGTGGAGTAGTTAGCTTCAGTGCCTCTGTGGAAGTAAACTGAAAAATGAGCAGGACTTACTTTCCAGTGATCTTTGCAGGAAAGACTTTTACTGAGGAAAGGATACCACACCATGTGTGAGCCATCTAATGCCTCCACAGTCTGTGAGAGTAGTCCTATCCATGTAATCAGTGACAAATAAAAGGGGTAGAAAACTGGGATTTCCTTCTCATGTGCCACTTTACTTTAACATCTGTGCTGCCTCTGCTGTGCAGGTGAATGTTTATGGGTTTGGAGCCAACAGCTTAGGACATTGGCATCATTACTGGGAGAAGAATGCAGGCGGAGGAGCCTTCAGAAAAACAGGAGTACATGATGGAGATTTTGAAGCCAATGTCACAAAGATGCTTGCCGATGTTGGTAAAATAAATTTATTCAAAGGTACTTGACATTGAAGCACTGTGAGTGAGCTCCAGGCAAGCATTATGCATCTGTGAATATCTTTGTGTTCACTGAGGTGATGGATTGTTGAACTAGGAAATTGAACGTTACATTGGATACTCAGAAATTCAGCTCCTATTTGGAATTAGCCAAATGAAAAGTCAGACTGCTTCTACTCTCTTTGAATAATGTGCCTTAACTCCAGCCTTAGAAAATCACGCCTTACTAAAACACCACTTTTTTTTTGTTGCCTATTTTATAACTACCTTTGACAAGTCTGTTTCTCAATCCAGCCTAATTTGTACCAAATTACAAGCAATTTCTTGACGTATATCAATGATAGACTCTTTTGATATATTCACCATGTCTGTCTGTAGCTTTAGTCTGAAAAACAGTTCTTCGGTTAGAGAATGAGGAGTAGGCAGAATCTGACTGTTGTGCACTATATTAAAACATAAGAAATGTCAATAATAACTTTGAGTTCAGTAGGTGTGATCAGATCATGTAGACAACTTTCCACTAGGGCCAAGTTACAACAGGATTATCAACACGAGAGAGGCTGGCACAGCCAACAACCTATGGTAAAAACATTAGTAGCAAGAATATTCTTGAATTGTAAATAAATGAAATTTCAGAGAGAAAAAGCTAGACACTTTATTGCATTGATGAAGCCTATAAATGAAATGTGAAGATTCAAGAATGCTCATTGACAGATTGGGTTAATTGGTGTTGCTGTATTTAAATTCGAGACCTTTTTTATCTTATAGAAACTAACATTTAACAGAATGTGATATGTTTACGCACAACACTCAATCCAGTTTAGCCAAACATAAATCTATAAACTCCAGAATGACAAAGTGGATGAATATGGCATCAAGTAGAGTGATTTTTCAGAAAATTTTTGAAGCTCCAACACTGGCCTTTACTCAGTTAAATAATCCACACAATGTTCCAGGCAACAGAAGAGAAACACCAGTCAGGCTATGTCTTTCAATCACAGTTCAGTTACCTCAAGTTCACTGTGTCCATGGGGGTAGATATTGAGTAAGGTCAGAATCAGAGTTAGGCTATGTTTCTAGTACAATTGAGTCGCCTTGCCATGCTTATTATCCAGACCTGAAGTTGGGTGAACTTAATCAGATTAGTCAGCATCACAGAATTATTTCCCAGACTGTCCATGCTATTCAGGAGACGAGCAAAGTGAAAGAAATCCCACCAATCTTCAAGCAGCTTTTTGCTGTCAAAAAATGTTGGTGCTTCATGAAAAATTAAGGGTTTAGCATTTTTCATTTTCTTACAAATCGTGTTGAAAGTCACTATCACATCTTGGACTTTATATAACAAGCCACCCCCAACACCAAAACAAAATGTTCAGATTCTTTTTCACTGAAGTCCGTGACCTTTAATCTCATTACATTAACATCCTGAAAGGACATTGATCTGATTATGATATTAACCAGTGAAGTACTTAATTGGATTAGGTTTCATACAGAAGTATATCTGTTTGGGTTGATAGGGATATATAATTGTTTCTGCTTCCCTGCCCTGATCTGCAAATCTGCAACAAATTGGTCTTGGTATTTATTCTCATTGTTTGATGACTCCGAATGGCGAGACTATATATCCAGAAAGACCAGGGAATTGAATCTGAATACAGACCTCACCTTAAGTAACACTGCTATTGTTGACTTGCTGCCTCGGAGTAGGAGAATGAAACAGCCAGGATTTCTGCTCCTGATCTCTAGACTGTTGGAAAGTATACCCTTGTGGCTATTGACTGAAGATGGGAGCAGATTCAGTGTGATGCTGTCTCAGTGGTCAAAGTAGCTTGCTGGCACTCGCTATTGAGGCTCACTTATAAAGCATGGCCGCACAAATTCAAGTCAAACCACACTCCAGCAGAGTCACCTTCTCTCCTGAAAAGGTCTCAAGTCTCTTCACTGTTCAACCAATGTGCTGGCCAGTGTTATTCTCCTGTTGATGGACAGAAATGTGTGCTTATCTACATGGTCATTTTAGGCGTTTTAAGTAGAAATGAAACTGAGTAAGGCAAATCCGCTACACTGACAGAATGAAAGTTGAAAAACACTACCTCGTACACTGAAAACTGGGCTTTTGAAAAGAGGCAAAACCAAACAATTATTTGATGAGACCAAATTGCTTTAAACTGGCCGTAAAGTGCTTTCCATGACTCGTGCTGTGGAGTAACAGTAAAACAAAGAGGTGAAGGCATTTCTTGTATTAATGCATCATAGTTTAGTCAGCCATCAAGCAATTACATAAGCAAGCTAAAGTCTTAGAAAAAATACTTGAAGATGGCTAAGTTGAAATTGATGGACATCAATAATGTATGTGTGCTTGTGTATGTGTGCGAGTTCATTAAAATGGCTTGTTCTCATGTTATCGGGTGAAGCCAGCAGAGTTATTTAGGGGACTAATATATACATGCATGGCTCTTCACTTCCCGCTTGAAAAGACTGTCAGAGGAGAGATAATACCTCGAGAATTCTATCTCATCTGATGGAAGATGAACTTTGAAGTGAGGCTATAAGGGGTAATTCCTGCCATCCCATTCCTCCTTATTCCCACACTCCTGGGAAGTGCTAGTTGAACTTAGATCTACAACACTATTGGCCTTACTTTGCAAATCTCATATGTTATCCCTACAAAACTAGCAAGTGGGAAGTTATTAACTGTATCTATCAAATTAGTTGATGAAATGGAAAGATGCTGCCACTATAATAGCTCCTGAATAAATATGAACGGCTCTATTGTTGCACAGAATTTTTCAGTAAGTTGTGTATTAATGGCAGCCAGCTAGTGATCTGCCTTTCAAGGTTCTGATGATGGCCACCTGAACTGCAGGCTTTCAAGGAATATCTTTCTATCCTAAAGTAAGACTTAGATATTGAAGTGGCCCAGTAATTCAAGACTCGAGATTTTTGAAGACTTGAAAAGAGTCAATGAGAAAGAAATCGAATCAGAGATAGTAGGAACTGCAGATGCTGGAGAATCCGAGACAACAAGGTGCAGGGCTGGATGAACACAGCAGGCCAAGCAGCATCATAGGAGCAGAGAGGCTTACGTTTCGGGCCTAGACCCTTCATCAGAAAAGGGGGAGGGGAAGGGGGTTTTGAAATAAATAGGGAGAGAGTGGGAGGCGGATAGAAGAGGGATAGAGGAGAGGATAGGTGGAGAGGAAACAAACAGGTCGAAGAGGCGGGGATGGAGCCAGTAAAGGTGAGTGTAGGTAGGGAGTTAGGAAGGGGATAGGTCAGTCCAGGGAGGACGGACAGGTCAAGGGGGCGGGATGAGGTTGGTCGGTAGGAGATGGAGGTGCGGCTTGAGGTGGGAGGAGGGGATAGGTGGGAGGAAGAACAGGTTAGGGAGGCAGGGACGAGTTGGACTGGTTTTGGGATGCGGTGGGGGGAGGGGAGATTTTGAAACTTGTGAAATCCACATTGATACCATTGGGCTGCAGGGTTCCCAAGCGGAA